TATATATATATATATACATATATACATACATATACATATATATACATATATATATGGTATATGGTATGAGCAGGACTGTATATGTTCTGCCCATATGTCTACATTTTAGTAAGTTCTTGTTGTTGGTATGTGTTCTTGTTGTTGATTTCAGCTTGGAGCACCTTACAGACAGGAGGTTCAGAAATGGATGCAGTAGAAAAGGGTTGTGGACAGTGTGAGATTGACCAATGCGATGGAAGTGTGGGGTATGGAGGAAGTCCTGATGAACATGGAGAAACAACATTGGATGCCATGATTATGGATGGGTAAGAAATTCCCATAAAGAGAAAGTGTGTTTGTTCTCCCTAGCCCAGCAATTATTTACAGGCACACACATGACTTTTCTATATATAGAATTTCTATATTTCTATACAGAATTTCTCCTGTTCAGATTTGAGCAGATTGTTGTCACTTGCTGTGATCTCCACTGAAATGTGTGGTGACTGGAAGCTCCTGGTACAGGTGCATGGGTGTCCCTGAGTATTAGAAATAAAATTCCAATATAGAAAACATAATCCCCCAAATGCCTGTTCTAAATGCTTATAAGTATTTTGAAAGATTGGATACAGCCCTGGGATGTTGCAGGGTGTCACTGTAACCATTAGAGAGAGAACCTGCTTTAGAATTTTTTTGAAACTGATGCTGTATTCTGACTTGCAGTGAGTTTGGAAAGATGACAGCAACACAAGCTGAATATATTTTCCTCTCTTTTAGTATATGTATAGTAGCGAGTTGAGGTAAGTGTTTAATGAAGGAAAAGTAACGTATTTTCCGGCGTATAAGACGACCCGCGTATAAGACGACCCCCCATTTTTCCAGTCAAAATATAGAGTTTCAGCATCTCCATCCTCCTTATCCTTATACCCGGCGTATAAGACGACCCCCCCCACTTTAACCACAGATTTTGCAGGTTAAAAAGTAGTCTTATACGCAGGAAAATAAGGTAAAAGGAATTTTCTAAGTATGCTGACCTCTAGCTTTTATAGACTACAGTTTCCATCTTCCCACTCAGGATTACCAAGGTGGGAGAAGGTTGCAATAGATTAAATGGGTACTATCTTTGCAACCCTTGTACATCTTTACAACATACTAACACTGGAAAGGACAAAAGAGCTGGCAGTGTTTGCTTCAATTTTGATTATTTTATTTTATTTTTGTCTAGTAACACTATGCAGGTTGGGGCAGTAGCAGATCTCAGGCGTATTAAAAATGCCATTGGCGTGGCACGAAAAGTGATAGAACATACCAGGCATACCTTGCTGGTTGGAGAATCTGGTAATTTTTTTTCTGTTCTGCTATTTTAGAATATTAGTGGTATTAAATGGGGCCTTTCCTGTTTGCAGGAGTTCAGTTCCAGGGACCATCCCACAGATGGGAAAAACCACAGAAGCTCAAGTCCCATATTATCCAACATGTGTGTACCCACATCAGCACATCCACATGCACGTTCCATTATTTGATAACATGGGCGGTATTGATTCGCAGATGCTCAAAGCAACGGATTGGAAGCCCACTGATACCGAAGGCCCACTGTACCATACAGTGGTGAGAGAATTTGGTCATTCTGTCCTTGATACTAGAGAGATGCACTAAGTGCTTTAACTGAGACATGCTGCAGCATTTTAGCAGGTTTTGACCACTACTATACTTGAGATCATTCTAATAGCTGGCTTTCAGTCTGATCGTATGCATGCTCAATTGGAAGCAAGTCTCAGTTCAGTGGAATTGACTCCAAATTAACGTGGATAGGATTTATAGCCTTTAGTTATGAATTTAGCTCTGTCTGAAAATTATTTTAAAATTACTTGTGTTAAGGAATTTAGCTTTAAAAGAATCTATCCTTGTTTCAGGCAAGTAGCTCAGAAAGGATTATATTTAAAAAATCAAAGTCTGAATTTCTATGTATGTTCCTCAGAGCAGTTCCCTGTATTAAGTTTTCTTGAAAACATAATACAAAAAGGAAAAAATTGGAACATAGATTAAATATTTTGAAGAAAGAAATGAGTAAAGCATAGTCAATTTAAGATATTCTTGACGTTTTCTGCCTTTCCATCTGACAGTATGATAGTAATTCACTGTTTCTTATCATGCAATTTTTATTCCAGTTCTGGTATCTTTTCTCTTAGTTTGCTCATAGTCTTTGGCAGTCTAAGCCAGTGATCTTTGTGATCAGATCAAAAAACTAAATAAGCATTGTGTCATTTGTATTAAAGACATGATCATAAACATTTAAACTCACCCTTATGAACCCTTCACATCTGTTGACCTGCTCCACTTCTACCATGGATGGCAAAAGGGTTGCGCTTCGTATTATTTGATGGAGGTGACATTTGAATCTAGGTGCATGCATTACTATTGAATAATATGGTGTATGGCATTCCATGGACAGTTAAATCCATGGATCATCAGCCCACTGGTACGGAGGGGCTACTGTACAGTGATTTTGCAGTGCCATACACCATATTGTTGTATTGAAGTATGAGAATGGTTTAAGAGTTTTATGTTGTGGTTTTGTGTTAAAGATGTGTATGAACTAACATGAGCCCTGGGGGTGCAGTGGTTAAATGCCTGTACTGCAGCCACTCACTCATAGACCACAAGGTTGCAAGTTCAATACTAGCCAGGGCTCAGGCTAGACTCAGGCCTGCATCCTTCCGAGGTCGCTAAAATGAGTACCCAATTGTTGGGGGGCAATGAGCTTACAGTTGTAAACCGCTTAGACATTCCATAGTGCGATATGAAGTGGTATATAAATGAAGCTGCTTTAATGATTGTGTAATAATAGTAAATGGGAAGCACATAGAGGTGTTATTTTTCTCTTCCTTCTTTCATCAAGCTTCAATGTTTGCAGAAAGTATGGGGTTTCCATGTGAAGACTTGACTACGCAAAGCTCTCTTTCAGTATATCTGAAATGGCTTAATCGAAGCTGCCAGCCCAACTTCTGGAAGGTAGAATCAACTTTTTCTGTTGTTTATGTTGGTGGTCATGAAAAAATAATTTATGACTAGTACATCTTTCAGATGGACAGGCTTTGGGGTTGAGCCATGGTTGCCTTGACCGACGATCTGCGTCTGAGCATCGACAGGAGT